CTTGCCTCGGGGAGCCTCTCGTAGGAAGAGCGCGTGGGCTGGCAAGTCTGTCTGTGGCGGTGGGGAAGCGGGCTCCTGGAGACAACACAAACATCACCTGAGTACTCTTAGGATTACGAATATTATCTGAGTATCTGAATGATAACACTATCAGGAACATATGATGATCACTGAATGACCCACCTTGCCCAGGAGTTTGGCGAGTTTCCGGTAGGGCATCTCCCTTCTGCAGGAGGCCCCGACACCTTCCTCACCCCAGGACCTGGTGATGGTTCTATCATCGTCAGTGACCGGCGTTACACTGAGAGAACTTGTGCCTCCTGGTCCCACTTCTGATGCTGCTCCTGCTGGGGTAGCTGCGTCTCGACCTGTGTTTAGGGAGAGAGGGTTGTGTTTGAGGCTTCAGTATGCTGTAGGAATGAATGAGTATCTGAAACTGTAATATGAAGCTGTAGGAATGAAGGAGAGTGTCTGAAACTGTAACATGTAGCTGTAGGAATGAAGAAAGTGTCTGAAACTCTAATATGAAGCTGTAGGAATGAAGGAGAGTGTCTAAAACTGTAATATGAAGCTGTAGGAATGAAGGAAAGTGTCTGAAACTGTAACATGTAGCTGTAGGACTGAAGGAGAGTGTCTGAAACTGTAATATGAAGCTGTAGGAATGAAGGAGAGTGTCTGAAACTGTAACATGTAGCTGTAGGAATGAAGAAAAAAGCTTAAGACATCAGCTTATTATTTCTATCACAGTATATATCAAGCTTCACACCATAAATTACAAAATACAAATATAAGATAGAATGCTTTACAATATCATATTCCTTTTTGTAATCTTCGACACATAGATGGACAAAATGTACACAAAATATACCTATCACATTATGTCAGATTGGGTTAGTTTAGGTTAGGTTAGATTAAGTTAGCTCAGGAAAAGCTAGGTTAGGTCTGGTCAGCTAGGTTAAATTGTGTTAGGTAGGTTGGGTTAGGTTAGGAAAAGCTAGGTTAGGTTAGGTCTGGTCAGCTAGGTTAAATTGTGTTAGGTAGGTTGGGTTAGGTTAGGAAAAGCTAGGTTAGGTCTGGTCAGCTAGGTTAAATTGTGTTAGGTAGGTTGGGTTAGGTTAGGAAAAGCTAGATTAGGTCTGGTCTGGTTAGTTAGGAAAAGCTAGGTCAAATTGTGCAAGGTTAGGTTTGTTAGTCAACACTAACGGATTACTCAGGTCAGGTCACACACACACACCTGAACCTGCCCACAAGACAAACTCAACTCCTTAACTCACTAGTCAGCCCGGACAGCTTAACACCGATCCTCTCTAAGTCGAGTTTTCTGGACCTGGTGACCTCCGGCTGAGTTTCAACCACTCCTTCCGGCTTATTTTCACCAGCGGCTCCTCTACCACCACTGCCGACGGCTTGACCGAGTCTCGAAATGCCGTCTCCAACACCTTTACTCACACGCTGGAAGAAGAAAAGGAATAAAAAATGATTACAGTACAAGATTCAGAATTCGGCGCTACGGGAAAGAGTTACAAATACACCTAAAGGCAGAGTTCTGGTGAGTTGCCAAGTCTGTGAGAATTAGTAAAGTCACTGAAAATTTTTTTGGGTGGAGGGCCGTGGTCGCCAACCCTCAGATTATGAAAATGGTTCCTTGCTTGAGTGATTCTAACTGTAAAAGCAAAGTGAAGAAGTATTCAAATTAAATAGAGAATGAGGAGTCTAAACTAACTAAGACGACTGTTTATTTACTAAGGATATGTTTTATTTTAACAGGAGCGAATCACTGAGCACTGACAACATTAACGCCAGTGGAGGCAATAAGCAGCGTCTGACAATCTCCCCACTTGGTATAGAATTCAAAATGACCCTTTGACAGTAAAGCCAGACGCATTTTCGCTCACTCTTCTGCCAGCACCGGCGTAGTTATCAAGGTATTAACAATCTTAAGATGTATACCTGACCGAGTTTAAATCCTCTGAAGGCGAGGTGTCCGGCGGTCCGTCTGGAGGAGGTGGGCGTGGAGGTGACAGGGGCGTTCCTGGAGGAGGAGATGGCGGAGGCGGCTGGGGGAGGAGGCTGGGGGGCTTTACCACCTGCAGAAGGGAGGGAGAGAAAGAGTGAGTGAGTGAGTGAGTGAGTTAGCTTGAGATGTTGAAGATGGTGCAGGAAACACGTCGTCATGTCACACACTCAACACGTCACTCACTCAACACGTCACGTCACTCAACACGTCACGTCACTCAACACGTCACTCACTCAACACGTCACTCACTCCAATATGTTTATTTGGATGGTTGGAGTTTAATCCTTTGAGTACGATTAGTTAATGCCTTGAGTACAATGACAAGCCACCGAGTACAATACAATCGTACTAAAAGGGTTAAGTCATAGTACTTAAGGGATTAACTCATCGTACTCAAGGGATCAACTCATCGTACTCAAGGGATCAACTCAGAGCACTAAAAGGATTAACTCATAGTACTCAAGGGATTAACTCCTAGTACTCAGGGATTAACTCATCGTATTCAAGGGATTAACTCATCGTACTCAAGGGATTAATTCATAGTACTCAAGAGATCAAAGTAAGACAAAGAGAAATTACTCATATATTAAGTAAAAGAAAAACACCTGTATTCTCCACAGTAAGCAGCATAAAGGTAAACTAATTAAGGTAATGACACATTTTCCCAACATCAACAACATCAACACTATTGTAAACATCTAGATAAATTAGTTACCAATTTATTTTTTTGTTATTTTGATCAAGTTAAAGGAAGAAACGTGTTTTATTTACTAACTATTTAAAGATAAGGAAGAATATATTTTACTTTTGTATTATTTTCTTCCGTCAATCAATCACAAAACACAAAGTCAACTCACGGCGTTTAGGAGGAGGAAGACGGGAAGTAGGAGGAGGAGGCACATCGATGTCTCTCTCAGAACAGGTCTTCCTTCCCTCTACACTCTTGGTAGGAGATGACTCTCTCTCTACGTCAGGTGAGGGAGGTACAGACCCGGAGAGGGAGGAAGAGGTGGAGCTTCTGATCACCTTGTTCTTCCTAAGGGTCTCTCGCGTCCAGCTGGTGTCGCAGATGGGGGACATACCTACAGGAGGGGGAGGACAGGGCCGTCTGAGGCTTACTAAGGGCTCGGGGCGAACTACGACAGGGTTAGAGATGGGATTAGCTGCTGTTTCTTTCTTCTCAAACTTAAACTTAACTGTAACTTATTTAATGCATGATTGATTGTTTTCATCTTGTGAGGGATGAAGGGGAATATTTACCCATAATGATTTGCACAGAAACGGCAGCTTAATGCGTAGTGTAACACATATATACTAGTCTATAATGAGTGTAAAAGTGACAGTGGGTCCCATAGCCATGACTGCCCGTTAGGTACAGTGTGGGTACAGCGCACTGTTTACTAAGCCTTCGGTACACAAGGAGGCAGCATGGCCGGTACTGCACTCGACCGCCTTCACTTCCCCATTTACAGCTGGGTGAACTGGGAGAGCCGGGGATCGAACCACCGACCCAGGGAACATTAGGCGAGCGCTGTGTCTACTCGACCACCGCACTCCTGTACTCTATATATAAAACATTTAATCTGATACAGTTGTTCTCTTGTCAGTAAATGGTCGTTTGATTCACTTATATTATCTTTTAAAGGAGTATATTGTTGAATTTAATCAAATTATTTATCAAACGATTGGTATAATTTCCTCAACATTCACTAAAAACTCCAGTTATTTTATCATCAACTCTTAACATTAATAAAATAACTATAAATAAAATATAAAGTTTTTTCCTATTAAATTAAAAAAAAATATCTATACTTACCTCCTCTACTATCACACAAAGACAAGATAAATGGTCACCTCATCAATAACAAGATACCAATACTCATTAATACTCACTATGATTACCTACATCAACAGGTGATCAGCGTTGAGGAGTCACCTGCCCGAGCTCTACCAGGAAGCCGTCCACCAGGTACCAGGAGGTCAGGTTACAGGTCACTACAGGAGAGATATGGCACTGATAGGGAGCATTAACTGGCACTTATTATCAAAGGCATCAACTGCTAAAGTTAGGTTAGGTTAGGTTAGGTTAGGTTAGGTTAGGTTAGGTTAGGTTTGGTTAGGTTAGGTTAGGTTAGGTTTGGTTAGGTTAGGTTAGGTTCAATTAGGTTAGGTTAGGTTAGGTCTAATTATGGTGTGTTTACCAAAGCATTAAGTCTAGCTGGAATTACTCAACTAATTTAGGGATTATAACTGTGCATCTCACAAGAGTTTGAGATAATATCGTCAGCCATTATGGTGATATTCATTACCCTGGTGAATTAAAAGCAACTATATGCGGCCTCACCCAACGTCCACTACGCACAGACCAACATTGAAGACCATTGTTGTTTTTTGAGTGACTGTAATAATTTCTCCTTCCTGTACATGGAATTACACCGCAGGAGAGGGGGAGACAAACAAAGGAATGATAAAGAAAGAATAATGGTATGCAAATGAGAGAGAGAGAGAGAGAGAGAGAGAGAGAGAGGGTGAAATTTGAAGTGTGATAAAGGGAAGGGTATCTTATTTGTTGAGTGGTGTGGAGGATGAGGTCAAGCAGAACATAAATAAATACAAAGTGGGTGATAAGAGAGAGGAAATAATACAAAGGAAAATGGAGAATCAGGAGAGATGTGGATAGTGTTTAGTGGTGAGAGTGATATGCAAATACTGAACTGCTACTACTACTACTACTACTACTACTACTACTACTACTACTCTCCCTTTACTTCCACAACTCACCTGTCGCCCTCTTCCACTCGTAAATCTCGATGTCTTCCTGGGAGAGAAGCCCCAAGCGGAGGTTCTCGTTCATATTATGCTCCAGCAGGTAGTTCTCGATGTCCTGAGGCCTCCACGATGGTGATTTTCGTCCCGGGGGGTTGGGCGCCTGTCTCTTCCTGCTGGCTGATCCTGGGGTCGTGGGAATCAGCTCGTCACTCACCCTCACCTCCGGGATCTTCCTTCTGTCGGGGACTTTGAGATTTCCATCACTCTTGGCTCTGTGTATCATGACGTCTTCCTCGTTCAGGAGCCCCAGCCTCACTGACTCCTCCTGAGTGTTCTTCAGGAGGTAATCCTCGATGGCCTCTGATGACCAGCCCTCGTTCTTCGGGGTGTCAGTCTCGGCAGTCTTTGGTTTAGTTTTGTTCTTATCTTTTGTTCCAAACGACAAGATGTTCCGTGGGTTGAAAAGACTGGCCTTCGTCTTCTCTTCGTTTTCGTTGTTTTTGTCTGATACTTTCTGTGTAAACTTACCGAAGTTGGGAGACATCTTGCTCCTCTTCTTCTCCTCGACGACTTTTTCTGGCGCGACTTTAATGGGATGATCATCAACTTCTTCAAACATAAACTCAACACTTTCTTCTTTCTTCTTAAGCTCCCGCGGTGGACTCTCTTCGTCTAAATTCTTCTGTGCAACAAAGCTTCTTAGGCTGTGTATGTCATCGTTGAGGAACCCGCCAAGTGAATCTCGACTGAGGGTGTTGACGCTGACGGCTGAGTCTGCCATGTGCCCTCCATCACTCTCCATGTACGCTGGCAGGAAGTCGTCGTTCAGCCCGTCTTCCAGTGTGTCGTCCAGGGCAGTCAGAGCATCAGCACAGTCCACCTCGTCTTGGTCCTTAATGATCTCACTAACACTTGACGATTTGCTTCCTTTTGTGTTGTTTGTTTTGGCGTCGTCCAGTTGGTCAGGTGGTTCGTCCGTCATCGCCTCCAGTTCATCGAAGGAATTAAATGGTCGATTCGAACAACTGTACCGCAACGGTGATGGTTTTGTATCGTCCATCACCGCAGCTTCGAGTGAACTTAGCGCCACCCTCTCATCAGGGTCCAGGTCAAAAGAGAGTTGCTTCGGCTGGACTTGTGGCTCTTGGGAGGAGTTGGTAACATCTGAAGTCGTGAATGTCGTCACACGCGTCACTATCATGTCATCAGGACTTGTTAACTTGGTGTTTTCCTGGTTGGTGTTGGAACCAGTTGGTGAGTTGGGTGTTGAGGCCGGCCTCTCCTTCTCACTTGACAACTTGGGTTTATTCTCTTGGTCTCCACTTTTAGAAACATCTATTTCTTCAGGGTTCACTGAGTCTCCTAAGTTCCTCATTGAAGAACTCGATGGACTTTTTATCTCATCTCTGACTCCGTCTTCCTGCGGTTCCCGGACGTTCTTCTGTGTCTTCTTTACTTTACCTCTCGTGTCCTTTGATTCCTTCGCCATAGAAGTTTCCTCCTCCCTGCTGGTGATCTCTGGCCCATGGAAAAAAGTTCGTGGGCAAGCAACAGGAACCTTGACGGACCGAATAGTCGTCGTGTTTACTGAGTAATTCGGGCTGTAAGGTTTAGGCACCAGGTTGGTGTTACCCAGTTCCGTCTGGTACACGGGGCGGTACTGCTGCACTGACGACTCCACGATCTCCGGCAGGAGTTTCTTCGTCACCAGCGGAGAGTTTCTGGGTGAATTCTTCGGGGAATTCTTTGGGGATTTTTTAAACGGTGACTCTATTGCAGCTTTTGCTAATGATTTTTTCGGTGTGCGCTTTGGGGAAGCGGGGACCGCCGCCTTACGAGGACTCATTTTCTGTTTCACACACGACTTCTTCACCTCCTCCAGATAAATCTCGTCAGCAATGTCACGTTCTATCTTCAGAGCGACTTCCTCTACAGTAGTCCAGCCGCTGTCCTCAATCTCCTCCGCACTCATCTGTTCTCTGTATCGCACCATGTAGCCCTCGAAGCTTGTGTCCTCGGGCATTTCATCGTCAAAAGCGACGTTGTACACCTCAGACGCCCTCCTCCCGGTGCGGTATCTCGAGGAATCCATGGCCATGACTATCTCGGTCTCCGCGGGCGTGGAGATGAAGATGGCAGGTGGGGTACAGGTGAGTCTCGCGCCTCGTTCTCTAGGTGTGAGGTATTCCTCGTAGCACACCTTGGCGTCCTCCTCACTCAGGCTGATGGTCTCCTCCTCCGGCTCGTCCACACTCTCACCACTCACGTAAGTCGGCTCCTGTAGAAGGGGTAGACAAGGGTGCGGCATGAGAGGCGTAGTAACAGGTCAAGGGCGTCTCAGTCCTAATTGGATCCTGTCCCAGTACATCCCCAACCTAACCTAACCTAACCTAACCTAAACCTAACATAACCTAAACCTAACCTAACCTAACCTAACATAACCTAAACCTAACCTAACCTAAACCTAACCTAACCTAAACCTAACCTAACCTAACCTAACCATTAGGATTGGGTTCAAGACCAATGGGCGCCAATCCTAATGATAAAATTAGTTTCGTGAGTGACAAGACTGGGGCCTATTAGCATCGTGGCCAATTAGGAATGAGGCCTATTAATAATGGACCCATGAAGGTGGGCATAGTAGGAATTGGCTTAATATCACTGGGGAGTATTAGAAATAGGGCCTGTTAAGAAAAGGGCTATTAACACTGGGAAATATTAGCACTGGGACCTATTAATATTAGCGCCTATAAGCACTGGGGCCTATTAACACTGGGGCCTATTAGCACTGGGGCCTATTAGCACTGGGGCCTATTAACACTGGGGCCTATTAGCACTGGGGCCTATTAATATTAGCGCCTATAAGCACTGGGGCCTATTAACACTGGGGCCTATTAGCACTGGGGCCCTGTGCTTTTGGTGCCTATTAGCACTGGGGCCTATTAGCACTGGGACCTAATAGCTGGGGCCTATAGCACTGGGACCTATTAGCACTGGGGCCCTAATGGCACTGGGACCTAATAGCACTGGGGCCTATTAGCACTGGGGCCCTATGCTTTTGGGGCCCTAATAGGACTAGGGCCCTATTAACACACTGGGAGCCTATTAGCACTGGGGCCTATTAATGCACTGGGGCCTAATAGCACTGGGGCCCATTAGCACTGGGGTCTAATAGCACTGGGGCCCTATTAGGACTGGGCCTAGTAACACTGGGGCCTATTAGCACTGGGGCCCTGTGTGTACTGGGGCCTATTGGCACTGGGGCCCACATTGGCACTGGGCCCTGTGGCACTGGGGCCCATTAGCACTGGGGCCCATTAGCACTGGGGCCCATTTGACCTACATCCTCCATCACATGAACACAGACTGACACACGTTACAGGTGTGGTGCAAAAACCGTGGATGACTGAATAGCTGTTGTTGTATTTCTCTGGTAAGTAAGTAAGTATTTGTTTGTTATTTTGTTTACATATTTACGTCCATATTCAGCTGTTTTTTCACACGCACACGCACGCACACACACACACACACACACACACACACACACATACACACACACACACACACACACCTGCCGTAGTTAGAGACCTTTAGCTACATGGACACACCTCAACAGCGTACGGCTTCATGCTACTTGTATCTTAATTATATTTACTCTCTCTCTCTCTCTCTCTCTCTCTCTCTCTCTCTGGTACAAATCACCTGAAAGAAACACCGATATTACTTACTTCTTACTTATTTATCTTTGTGTCAATTACAATATCTTAATGACGTCTTGTTTACAAAGAGAAAATTGCCACTTGTCAACTCAGAGGCGACGACGTCAAATACACCAAGATTTTTTTTTTTTAATAGTTTGTTTTTCAATATTTTTTTCTTCGGTATATTGATTCGTTTTGTTATTTTTTTTTCTTTCGTGTTTCTATTTTCTTTTATTTTATTTGGTTTCACTTGTGTATCTTTTTAATGAATTTAATTTGATTTGGTTGAGGTTTTGGTTTTTTTTTTCCAGCTACACTCGGGTTTATTTCAGTTTTCTTCTATTTTTTAAGGTATAACTATTTAAAAGAGGAATTAGAGTAACTTAATTCCTTCTGTACGACTAATTTATTTATTTTCTTTACGATCGTTGTTTTTTCCACAGCAGTGAGAGGCCGTAGAATAAATAAATAACTAAATAGATGAAGTAAAACAGAAGAAAGGGCACAAAATAAACTGGATTTATTCGTAGTCTTTCCAGAAACATGATGGTTGACGTGTGTGTGTGTGTGTGTGTGTGTGTGTGTGTGTGTTTCTATGCCACACTCAAGAGATTAAGTCAGTCTATTTGTCCTCCAGTCTGTAGAAATGAATAAACCAGTCTATAACTCACTCAGACCATAGACTGGAACAAATCCCTCTCTGCCAACATCATTTCTTTACCTTTCTGTACCTCACGTCGTTCTTGTCTGTGTCACACCAAGGATAAAACCTCATCACTGCTCACATTCTCCTGGTATCATTATAACAATATCCATTAATAACACTAATTGAGTCTTTAACACCACTATGACGTAATTATAATCCTTGTGGTGTTATTTTTGTCACGGTGATGAGGAGAGGGTCGGCGTCTCTCAACCAGGTATAACAGGTGTAACGCGAGAGTCACGTCCGCCACACTGACTGACTCCACGTCCGCCACACTGACTGACTCCTCCACCTCCTAGTTGAACTTCACCCCACCAGAGAAGCCCCACAACACTCGGGGTCATATTTGCTTAAAACCTGCTTCACTTACTCCCTTACTTTGCTTACTATCTCTCAAAACCTGCTTCACTAACTCCCTTACTTTGCTTACTATCTCTCAAAACCTGCTTCACTAACTCCCTTACTTTGCTTACTATCTCTTAAAACCTGCTTCACTTTCTCCCTTACTTTGCTTACTATCTCTCAAAACCTGCTTCACTAACTCCCTTACTTACTTTCTCGCTTACTATCTCCTCAAAAAACCTGCTTCACTTACTCCCTTACTTTTGCTTACTATCTCTCAAAACCTGCTTCACTTACTCCCTTACTTGCTGGCCAGCACTATCTCTCAAAACCTGCTTCACTTACTCCTTACTTTGTACTATCTCTCAAAAGCTTAGCTTCACTAACTCACTCTCCTTTCAATCTATCCATGCCTCCTGCACCCTCCTGCACCCCTCCTGCACCCCTCCTTCCCCTCCTTCAACCCACCCCTTCCTTCACCCCTTACGATAACAAACACAGAGGAAATACAGTATGATCAAAAAGTTCCTGTGCACCTGTATCTATAAACACTATATCTATTTACCTTGTTAATCATTATAGGTGCACAGGTATTTTTCGATCACCTTGTAAATATCAGTGTGTTAGTTTAAGATTTCCAAAATTCCCGATTAATTAACAGTATTAGTATTCATACACGCCCTTGGCATTCTTACGCTGTGTGGCACTGTCTTCATGGTGCCACTGACTATATTTTAAGACGAATTCCAAGTTTTGTTTTTCATTAAGGCGATAAGACAGATGTTCAAAGGTAGATGTGTGTGTGTGTGTGTGTGTGTGTGTGTGTGTGTGTGTGTGTGTGTGTGTGTGTGTGTGTGTGTGTGTGTGTGTGTGTGTGATGGCCAGGCAACCAAACGCAGCAACAGTTAAGTGGCTCAACTCTTTCTTCCTCTCGGATATATGAAGTCCTCAGGTGGAAGATCACCCGTTGTCTTATTTGCGTGGACGGCGCTTAAGCAGGTGGTATTTGCCCTTTTGCTTATAGACATGTACTTATGTTTACTTCTTAAAGACATTGGCCGCCTGCTTAATACCATTATGTGGTGTTTTCTACCTTTCAAAGACATTGCTAACTGCTACACAATCTGTTTGTAGAGTCATACTGTCTGTCTGTCTGTCTGTCTGTCTGTCTGTCTGTCTGTCTGTCTGTCTGTATTTTTCTGTGTAGCAAACTCACAGACAGCCAGTTGTTTGTGGGAGGTAAGAGGTGAGATGCTGTGAGTGTAAGGAGAGTGAGATGGGGTCAGGTGAGGGGAGGGGATATGGGGTCAGATTAGGTCAGGACAGGTGAAGGGAGATGAGGTCAGGCCAGATGAGGGGAGATGAGGTTAGGTTAGGGGAGATGAGGTCAGGTCAGGTGAGAGGCGATAAGGTCAGGTGAGAGGAGGGGAGACGAGGCCAGGTAAGGGGAGATGAGGTCAGATCAGTTTGGGGAGATGAGGTCAGATCATTTTGGGGAGATGAGGTCAGATCATTTTGGGGAGATGAGGTCAGATAAGGTTAGGGAAGATGAGGTCAGATCAGTTTAGGGAAGATGAGGCCATGTCAGGTCGGCTTAGATTTCTGCTCTAGTCAACAAGATATTAACACATCTTCATCATTCATCAGCAGTAACATTGGCAGATATTCACATTAATATCCTTCCAATCTTTTTTTGGTCAGTATTCGTTCGACTCAAACTGCCCCGTTGCCAGTTCCATTGTGTGTGGTGGTAGGAGGGTTGGCGCAGTGACCTGTCGTCCAGGAAGGGTACAACAGGCTATGCACCCTTCACCGCCAGTGTACCACCAACTTAAGAACGGAACTGTACCTAAAGGAGTATGGGAATCCTTTGTGCCATCACTTAACACTATACATACATGACCCCTTCCTCTCTGTCTCTCTCTCTCTCTCTCTCTCTTTAACATACACATACATAGTCTTACACACATCTAATCTCCCTCTATCTCACATATGTTAGAGAGAGAGAGAGAGAGAGAGAGAGAGAGAGAGAGAGAGAGAGAGAGAAATCTTCAGAACAGTTTATAAAGTTCCTTGATGTTTTGTTACAGAGATCACCAAGATTCCAGTATGAATTCCATTATTTTCTGCACATAACTGTATATTTCATCATGTCTACTGTAGCCTAAAACACACAAGATGAAACACATAGACACTAGACGTAGTGAAAAATACAATTCGGTAAAGAAAGTGATGAAATACGTACACATATGTGAGGGGGAAAACAATGCAAATACTCAAAACATCAAGGGACTTTATAAACACCCTGTACATTTGAAAAGCCACGTAAGTACAGTAATAATATCTAAGAAGAAAGTCTTTATTAGTCCTACAAATTAAAATAAAACACGGAATTCTTTTTTTTTCCTTGTATAAATAATATAAACATACTTCGATTCTGAAACAAAACATACAAATAAATTATAAATGACTTCAGCGAATACGTGAAGAATATCAATATGAAGGAGAGGAAAGACTAATGAGACCAGTGTAAACAAAAATACTCCTCGCGGGTGTATA